AAAATATGCAAAATTCAGACTAGAAATAAAACAAAATTTCACCCCGAAGAATACAAACAAGTCATTTTCCCAAACAAAAAATCTTATGCAACATCAGTAATAAAGGTAAACACTCTCAAACCATCAATTTATATATATATATATATATATACAAATCATTTGTCCCCCTCAGTTTGTGAACTTAATATTTTGGCCCCTATTAGCGTAAGTTCCTAATTGTTTCTCTATCCCCCTCAGTCATTGTACATTACATTCCGACCCCTAAATAATTTTTTTGGCTCCGCCCTTGTCTTGTGCATTGCAAATGAGAGGCCTGTTAGACTTAATACTACTGTAAGATTTTTCCTACAAACTTAAGCTTTTGTGTTAAGTAGTTAATAATAATTATTCGATAAAGATAAACGGATAAATTTTTTTTATTTATTTTCTCTTATAAATATGACATGCTAGTTCACAATTGGTCTAACGAAACTACAAATGTAATATGAATTGACAAATCATGTTTGTGTTAAAAATTTAATTAAAAAAAATTATAGTATTACCCATAATTATTACCAAAATGATCAGCCATCAACAATAATATGCATCGATTTTCGGGTAAAAAAATAGACAAGGAAAACAGATTTCTTTGTCCCCTCCTTTAACGAACATTACACTCTTGTTCATCTGAATAAATTTCACGTGAGAGGCCTATTAGACCAATCGGATTCTTCCAACTAACTTGAGTTTTCAAGTTTAAGTGCTTAATTATTTACCGAAACTAATAACCTTCGACGGTTCTATGTAGTTTTCAGGTGATATGCATCGATTTTTGAGGAAAAAAAAAAAAAGGTAGAAAACAAAAACAGTTTTTGACAAATAATAGAAATGAACTATAGGGAAAGAACAAAGAAAGTGAAATTACAATACCTGAACTCTTGATAAGCTATTGCCATGGGAATTGGTACAAATATTGCTAGCAGCCAAGCAGCTCTTAATCTTCATCCAATTCTTCTCATAAAAAATTCTATGTTTCAACCACAATGAGTAATTATCTAACTTATATTCTTTATTGGTGGCCAACGCTTCGCCGGCTGCTACATTCGTGACAGCGTAAGTAAATGTGGTGAAGCAAAACAAGACTACGATCAGGAAGAACATCATCACGAGATAGAACCAACGCAACCCGGATGACCGGTGACAAGCGCCGTGCAACCCGATCAGAGAAATGATCATGGTGAAAACACCAAGAACAATCATAGGTGTTTGAAGGAATTTTTCACATTCTGTGGCTCCTGCTCTTGTGGCCAGGATAATTCCTAAGCAGAGAATTGGCAATGAGAGGAGAAATGTTGCCACATTGACGAGTGCTAGCAAGCCGTTACTGCAGCTGACCATTGTGGCAAAATTTCAAAGGTAGAAAACAGATTGTTTTTNTTTTATTTTTTGGTGGCATTTTATATTAGATGTAATTTTTTTCTATATTAAATGTAATGTTTATTTGATTAAATAAATGCTTAATTTTATTAAATTAGTATAATTTTTAAAATAATTATTATTTAATAAAAATATATGTTAGAGTCATGAAAGTGACTCTATTTTGGTGATAAAAATACCCTATGTGTGATTAAAATGAAATCATATTGAGATAATTAAAGAATTTATGAATTTATTCACGAAAATCGCTTCCTAATATTTTTCTTATGAATTTAACATGTTTGGAATGATTTGGAAATGGTATGAGTTGATATTAGGTTGTGGTTTATGGATTAGAAGTGATTTTGTCTCATTTATGTTGTTTAGGGGGTAAACTGTCATATTTATAAGGGTTGATTTTGTCACTTTTCAATCATATAGGGACCAAAGTGATATTTTTCACATTGTGTATAAAAAGAAAGTGAAGGGTCGCAAATCTGGATTGCCGTTCATCCATCCACAGTGTCATTTTTCAGCATCGCTTCGTCTCCCTTTTCCAGTGACCTTCGGCAACGGTTGGGCTTCCCCTTCACCGGTCATCATCACCACCGCAAATCATACCGCATTTTCCGGTGACTTTTTGCATTCCAGCCGCGATTTTGCCATTTTTTGGCGACCTCCGGAGACGTTTCGCCTCCCTGGTGGCTGATCTTCTCTCCCCACGGCCGGATCTATCCATTCCAAGCTTCAGCCAATGCCAAAACCACCGAAATCCACCATCACCACCGTCGCGCCTCTTCACCTTCCAGCCGCGATCTCTCCCATTTCCGGTGACCTTTCATCTCCCCATACCTAATCTAAACTCCCCATCACCAGAGCTTTCCATCGGTACCTTCGGATCCCATTTTTGCCACCATTTTCCGGAAGACCCACCGAAAAATTTCATCGATACCTTGGGATCCCATTTCTACCACCATTTTCCGGAAGACTCGCCGGAAAATTAAAGTTTTCCGGCGAGTGCGACTGTTCGTATTCCGGGCTGTCCGTTGGTCGTTTTCGCCCATTTTTCGCATCATATCGTTGTCGGTTACTTCCTCTCCACCATGATCAGCTTCGTTTTCACCTTTTCAGCCTCCGTCATCACCACTATGAGCGGCTGAGTTCCCGGTTGTTTGTTATGACATAAGCGAGATCGAGATTGACTCCACGACTCTACTCATCAGCTCTCGACTAGTTGGATGAGCCTGATTATAGGACATTTGGTAGTATTGTGTTTCGAATTATATTTGTTTTCGTTTCATGTTTGATTTCGATACTTTAATATGGTTTGAGTATAATTTGTGATGAATATTGTTGTCCATTGTGATTTAATGTTTTCATAGAACTCGCTGAATGATAAACGTTGGTTTGAAATAATTAAATGATGAATATTGCTTTTCATTACTTCGCATCGATTGTAATTGAGTTGTGTTCGGATTTAATTTCATTTCTACTGTT